GCGCTTGCCCGGGCTACACGCGTCGCTGCCAGTGTCCCGGCGGGCGAGGCGCGATCGGCGCGGTCCCCGCTTAACCTCGATGGGCACAGAGAAACACCCTCCTTAAACGGGGGGTGTTGCAGCGGACTTTGACCACTGGCAGGCGACAACAGCCCGGGCCAGGCGCCCAAAAGCACGGGCACTTGGAAACGGAGAGTGCGACATCGCCGGGCACCTGCACCCAACCCCGGACGCCCATCGCAGCCTCCCCGCTGTTCCGCACTTCCAGTTTCCCACCAGCACTAGCACGCGCGCGTGACTCCGAGTCCGCGTGGAGACAAAACGTCCTTCTTTCCCTTCCTAAAACACCGAACACGCACACGCCCGTCGAGCCCGCGCCTCGACAGGCTGACAGATGGATCCCGTTCCGGGCGTCGATTCGATTCGCATTCACATTCTAACCGGGTGTACTGCTTCCGCGCTTGCCTATTCTTTTCCTATTCTGCTTTCTTCTGGGGCGTCCGGATCTCCTCCTGCCAGTAGCCAGTTTCTTCCCACTCCACGCCGACCCAGCCTAGGCCCAGCCACTGCCGGCCCGGCCCCGTGCTCGTCGCGCTCGCTTCTAGCTCCCTCGTCGTCCGCGCTGCCCGGCAGGCACAAGTTGACCCGGAGGCCGGAACCCGGACAGCGCCGCGAGCTTCATAGCCATAGTTGGATTTGGTCATTCGACCACGGATGCCGCCCATCACGGCGATCAGGACGCGCGATACTGCGGGTGCGCGAGCTGCACGCCATCGAGCGCCGGCGACGCGCTGTCGGCCCGGTCCGAGCCTGCGCTGGCGCTGGCGCTGGCGCTGTTCGGCGAGTACGGCCCGGCCGTCGCTTGTTGTTGGGCCTGTGCGTGCTCGACCTTGCGCGCGGCGCTCTTGAGCCGCGAATGCTGCCCGCGGTGGGAAATGGTGGGGTACGTGCATGGAATGTTTCTTCTTGCGCACTGACTAATTATTTCCCATCAGCACGACGACGAAAGAGAGAAGAGAAGGCAGACGCACTTGCACCGCCCGTCGATCGTCCCATCGTCCGGGCGCCCACACGCGATCTTGCGTTCCCGACAAAAAAAGCACGACAGCGCCTGCTTTTTCGCGCGCGCGCCGCCGGGGCGCGCGGCGTATGCAAATCGCAGCTCGGGCTCGTACGGCGGCTGCGGCGGCCTGGGATACGCCGACGCGGGCGGGGACGCGCTGGTCGGCGTCGGGGCCGACACCGACACGGGGCTCGCCATACGGCGACGGTGGTGGCGGGATGGGCAGCGCGGGCGCGGCGGCGCAGAACCGCGCGAGGTCGGCCTTGGTTAACGGGCTGCGGGGGGTGCCGCCGTGCGCGGGCGCGCAGCGGACTCACGACTCGGAGCGGCGGGAGCGAGGCGTAGCGCTGCACCGGCACGGGAAGCGGCCACGCGGGCGTTCCTGTCCAGCGCCGCATGCTCCACCTTGACTTCAAGACGCACCAATAAGCTTCCCCGCCCGCTCTGTTCCGGCTGACGAGAACGCACACACAGAAACATGCCTAGCATGCACAGATGACTCTGATGAGCAGACGCCCGTCGATTCTGAGGAGGAAAACGCACAGTTTCCCTCCACCCGCGCCGCCCCACTGGCAGCGTGCCTGGCGGTCGTCCGTCTCGTCGCCGACCAGCACGCATGCCCAGCTGCGAGGATGGATATCCGGGCGGCGCTGCGCTCGCAGTAGCTCGAGCGACAGCCCGACAACGCCTGCGAAGGAACGGCAAAGCGTCAGGTAACTGGGACGGTAAACAAGCCCACTGTTGCGCACCGAGCAGACGAGCCAGCCAGCGCCCGTCTCTCATTAGTCCCCCTCCCCGCTTCTTCCCGCCCATCTCCGTGCGCATCCTACACACGACGTTGACGCGGAGACCGTTCTGATGCGCTTTCCCTCCCCCGCGCCCCCGCCAGCTGGTACCCTTGCGGTCGCGTTGCCGCGCGCCGTTGGAGGCGTCATCGGCCAGCAGCAGCGAGCCATTTCGACGCCGAGGTGGATGCAGGCACCAGCACCGTTGGTCTCGAGGAGCGAGATTCCGCTGTAAAGGATGAAAGGTTGACGTCAGAAAACGGGGACGACAGAGAAGCACGCTGTCGCGCACCTAGCAGACCAAGAGCCCATCCTTCCCGCATACTCCTCCCCCTCTTGTGCCCGCCCTCCTCGGTTACGGTCCCTCGCCAACAAGCGCTGGAGGCAGGCATCGTCGCGCGCGACTTGTTTCAATCTAGCCGAGGAAAGTCAGCCAAGTCCACGCAGTCGGCCGCGAAGACGCACCACACGGCCCACGGGCGTTGAAAACGGGTCGCCGCCCCCGCCCAGCTACTGATCTTGCTCTCGTTCGTTGCGCGACCTAGAGGTTGGTCGTTGGCGCGAAGACGTGAGCGGTCTTGAGGACGACACGGAGGGGGATACAGGACCAGCGGGCGTTGTACTCGGGGAGCGCTAACCCAACAGCACCTGTAACGGTAAACGGTCAGAAAAAACGCAGACGACAAACACGCGTTAACGCACGCCCCGTAGACCAGCCTGCGTCACGCCCGGGCCCGCGCCGATTTTTCCACATTCCTCCCCCTCTCCCGCCCGTCTGGGTCCGCTGCCACCGTGACTGTTTTCAGTCAGCCGGTGCCTCATGGCACGAACGCCCTCGCGCTGAGGCGTTTCCTCCCAGAGATAAACAACGGAAAGTGGTGCCGGCTGTGTAGAACATGCGGGGGTAGTAGGCGCTGGAGATGGTGCTCGCGCAGGCGCGGATGGAGAGGGAGACGCGGAAGGGATAGAATCGCTCGTTTCGTTGTGACTTGTCGGTAGTAAACAGACGCGAAGTCTTTCGCTGGTACAAAACTCGGTGCTGGCGAACGACATACTCCGCACGCTGGAAGCAAAGTGAGAAGCCCTCCACACCCGTGCAACGACAGGAAACGCACCGAAGACCTCATTCGCTCTTTCGCCCGTCCGCAATCCGACCCACCGACAGCCAAAAGCAGCTAGATGGAGGAGGTGGGCCGACGTAGGCCAATACTGAGGACGGAAACTCGCAACGCGGCCCGTGCTGACGCGCCTTTCCCCCCATGGCCCCGACCGTGCTCGCCGGACCGCGCCAGCTTGTCCTGCGGTCATCCGCGGCCTAGAAGGAGAGACCAGCATTGGGGTGGGGTGGGGTGGGGTGGGACAGTGAGCCGCAGGGGATGCAGGAGGCGCCGCATTGTGCCCGGGTAACAAGAATCCGAGAATACCTTAAAAGATGCAAGGTCAGAAAACGCCGAGCGACAAACGAGCGTTATCGCGCACCAAGCCGACCAGCCAGCCAGCGCCCATCTTTCCTGCGTGCTCCCTTTCCTCGCAGCTTTCCCCTTGGTATCCTTCGCCGCAGCGGTCGTGCCACGTATCGTCGCGCCACTCGATCTAGCACAAGAAAATCAGTCAGTCGGACTTCGCGGTCAGCGACAAAGGCGCACCTGGCAGACCGCAGACTTCAAACGCGCCACACATGGGCGTGGACACACTGTAGTATGCACGCCGGGAGGGAGGCGCGCGCATCCGTGGTGGAAGAGCGGAAGAAGGAGCGATGACGCCCGTCACGCGTTCCCGCCGATCGATCGATCAGCGTGATGCTTCTTCGTCTCGCCCGCCATGTGCCTGCGACCTGCGCTGCGCCCCGAGCGCGCCAATTGCGAGCGCGTGAAAGACTACTGCGCGGCACGACCGTCTCGAGGAGAGTGACCGACGGGTCCGGGGTGGCGCGGCGCGTGACCGCCGGCCGGCCGGCCTTTCTCTTCTTCCCCGGCGTCCTCCACCCCTCTGGGTTGCCGCCCGCTGCCAGCCAGCCCGCTCCTCCGCGGGCTATACCCTCCCTCGTATGCGGCGCGCATGATGCACATGGACAACCCGGTGCGCTATACGGTCTCCTACATGTCAACGCCGCCGGTCCACTGTAGCGCTCCGCGTGCTACTAAGAGAGAATATGAAGGCCAGTTAGTGTGTGGTGGGAAATCCCGGTGCGTCTCAGTGTTTTACTGTCGACTTTCTGTTCGCTGACCGTTTTACTTAGATGTGCTCTTACTCCTCCCGGCCGACCGATTCTCTGGACGGGAGGGACTGACACGTCCGGGGGTGGCGCGGCGCGTGGCCGGCCGGCCGGTCTTCCCTTCGTCCCGTCCTTCACCACTCCGGCGAGCCGCCTCCGCCGCCCGGTCATCCGCGGGCTATATCCTCGCATGTGGCGCGCATGCCAACGCACAGCACCGGCTGAGCCCGTTTAGCTACTCAGCCCCCCCACATCGTGCTCCTCAACGCCGACGGTCCCGTTTCAAAGCAGGGCGCCCTCGTTCCTACCTACTGTTGCGGGACGCTAGCGCGACCGTAGCGCTCCGAGTCTGCGTATACTAAAAGGGAAGTGTAGACCGGGATAGTGTGGGGTGGGATGTCCAGGTGCGTCCAAGGGTTTTATTGTCGACTTTCTGTTTGCTGACCGTTTCGCCCTCAGATGTGCTCTTACTCCTACTCAGTACGGTGACTCAATCGACTTTCAGAACTCTGCACCGCTTGTACACGCGCCTCCGCTGCCCAATAACGACGACCCGCTAACTCGACTCTCCACGAATAAGTACTCGGGGACCAATCCGACCAACGGGGCGCAGTGGTGGCGGGCGCATATAGAAAAACCATCCCAACGGGAGCAAAGCTTACGTCCTCCGCCTTCAATTTGGACAGCAATGCTTATACCTGCCTTCAAGCCATTCGCCATCGCGCTTGCTGCTCGGCCTGAATGCAATTCGGACGGGGGGCGTGATTTCAGGCTACGGGAAAGAGACGTGTGGACCATCGCTGGGTCGGGGAGATCTATGCGGCAATGTCAGAGGCCCTGGAGTCCCAGGACGCCGATGGCAATGCCGCCAGGACCGTCCAAGCTCGCTCTCGTCCCAACACCCTCGCAGAGTCAGGATAAGGCAATATCATTTCATTCAAGTTCCGTAGAAGTCATTCCAACCTAGCTCCTCAGGCGTCTGGAACCTAGCAGGGGCTTCAGCTGGACCAAATATGACGTCCTGGAGCACCGCCGCGGACGCCGACGAGCCGCGCTCCGCGCAGAAGTCCACCAGCTTCAACGTCATCGACTTGCGCACGGCTGGCGTGTGCAAGTTTGCGCGGAGAAAAGCGACTTGCATTGTCTTGACCTCGTCGAATCTGCAGTGCTCGTCAGTTGGAGGCAGCAGAAGAGAAGCGGCAAGGCGGACATGGCAGTGAAGTTGGAGAACACTTCGTGCACAATGGTGTCGACCGAGAGCCGCGCGCGGATCGCCTCGAACGCGAGCAGCTTGAGTTCCGCGAGGCCGTGCTGTTGTTGGATCCTCAGCAGACGTCATTAGACTGCAAGCTGCCTCACCTTGTCCGCGAGTTTGTACATCGACTTCGGCGAGCATTCCGGTGCCTCATCTTCTCTTGGCTGCCTCAGGTCGAAACGCGAAGCCCTCCCGCCGACCTCACGGAAATGCACCTTGCCTGTGTAGAGGTAGTATATCAACGCTTTCCAACTATGTGACATTGTTAATTCAACGGCCTTCAATGAGAAGACGACTCACGTGTTATAAGCATGTCCCTTGATGACAACGCGATGGCCGCGACGCCCCTGGAGCTCTTGTTGAACAATGACATCAGGCGATGTCGAGCGCTGTATGCTCGGTCCAGCGACGGGCTGCTCTTTCTCATCCGGTTCTACTTGTGTTTCGTCTGAGTAATGGGAGAGAGGACGACGGCTCGCTTACCTGATTCCTGGCCGTGAATATCCGTGTCGCCATCGAATTCTTCGCCGTCCTCGAGGTCGCTGTCGGACATATAGTCATACGCGTCAAACACATTCTCGGGAGCCTGGTCATTCGTGATGTCCGTCTGCCCCGATTCGGAAAATCCGCTGAAGATGTCGTCGAGATCTGGACATTCAACCTTATCAGCACTAAAAAAAACAGATGAGCGCACAAGTACCTTCATCGAACTGTTTCGAAGTCCCGCGCATGAGCCTGAGATTCCCGTACAGCGGACGGGGAGCATAGACGTAGCCGCTCCGGGCGCGTGAATATGCCCAGAACTTGACATCGATGAGCTCGCCGCCATGGATCGTGTCGACAAGAGAGGCGCGGATGCGCGTTGGGAGGGGCTCGTCCGAGAACGGGAGGCGGGTCTGGATGGTGACAGGCTTGGGAGGAGTGAGGGCGAAGGTGGCCTCAAAGGAGACGGTAAATTTAAACGTTGGAGTCGTACTAGTGGAGCTCTTGCGGTTTTTTGTCTTCTTGCCACTCAGGGCACGGGTCCACAAGCCAATTCGCAAATTGCGAGCCTCGGTGTCCTGAAAGGGCTCTGGAACCAGGGATTGTGATATGGAACGGCTCAAAGGGAGGCTGAGGGAGAACAACATCAAAGAGTAGTCGAAGGAATACTCCGTCAATCCCGTCGTTACGACAGTGCACGATACGCGTCCGTATTCCGCGTTCGCCACCAGGTGCGGGTCGAAGTAAACAGCGATGGGGCCATTCGAGCAGTCCCACTTGAATCGCCAGCCCCATCCGCAGACATCGGTCGTCCCAGTGAGCGAGGAGTCCTTGTCGAAGCTGACACGGAAGGTGGATTCGACGCCCTTCGCCGTCCAGGTATCGGGGGAGTCTCTGACGAGCGACAGCGATGAGGGGAAGAGAGAAGGGGCGTTTGGGAGTAGCCACCTCGTGTAGGCAGCATGTCTGCCTGTGGATGCAGCGTGTTTGGTTGTTTTGCTCGGCCCGGAAGTGGGAGGGAAGAGAGGAATCCGCTGTGACGTCACAAGCCACTCTTCTTCGTCTTCTCCGCCATGTCGCGTCTCGCCTTCCTCTCCCATCCCATCTCTCTCAACTCGGACACAACGAATGCGAAGATCTGAGACGCCCCATAAGCGGAAATGCAGCGCTTATGCACTCGGTGCGCGTGAATACTTCCACTTACAAAACTCGCGCTGATTCGCTGGACCAGCCATCTTGACTCGATTCCCCGCAAGCTCGCACACCATATTGGTCGACTGGAGGGAAGGAAAACACCGTTGTTGACGTGGAGCTGCTCTTCTGCTGGCCCTAGGTGCGTGCTTCAAATCCTTCATCTTCCCTCTCTTCCGTCGTCACTTATGCTGACTCTACAGATATCCCCACTCACTCAGTCACACCCGACGCCGTATACCCGCCCCAAACTCACGCCCCCACCACCTCGAAAGCCGCGTTCTCTACTGCACGCTTGTTCTCCAAGTTTGGCAGGCGAGGTCCTTCTCTCCAGCAAGAAGACGTCCCCGAGCTCTTCTACATTCATTCGCGACGGGCGCTCGGAGTATAAACGAGTCAGAACGATGTATAAAGTGTGTATCTTAAGCCGCCGCCCACTTCTTGCGTCTTACTCCGTCTTTTAACTCCCTCTTTGGGCCATTCCTCTTACTCCCTCCTGGCGCTGCAAGTCGGACTTCCACCCGTTCCCGGACCGATTCCCCTCCCTCAGAAGGTGCACAAGATGGCGACTGGTCCGTTTCTAGCCTTCCGCCAGCGAAAATCGACTGACGAGAATCTACAGCCTGGCGTCTCATCGCCTTTTGCTCCGGTGCATGACAAACGATACACGAGCAATAACGGAAGCCGAGGAATGAACGAGTTGAGCTGGAAGGTCAAGAGGCCGCCGACCTCAAACCGTCTGCCTCGGGCTCGACGACTGCCCAGCGCTGTTGCCCAATACCTCCCTTCCAGGTTCCTCGCCACCCATACCGCTCGCCAATACGCCCCTCCCCTTCCGTCTTCACCATCTCCACCACATATCCATCCCTCTCTCTCCGCCCCCCGCATCCGCGCTCGCCGTCACCAACCGCCATGCGTCTGCGTCTTCCCCCGGCGCTCCTTCGCAAAATCGGCCAGGTCACGTGCCGCGCCGGCCGTCGCCGATGGGCCTCGACACGTCTCAATGTCCCGGCACGACAAGTATTGCTTCAGCGAGTGGATCTCGTGCTTACGCACATCGGCCTCGCGCTCTCTCATCTCTAGGGCTAGCCGCTATCTGAGGTATTGAGCGGGCAGCCTGTCGTTGGGGACGCGTTCGGCGGCCGGCGCGGCGCGGACGTGCCAGGGAGGGGCAGGAGGAGGCGGCGGCGGCGGCGGAGGAGGAGGAGGGCGGGACGACTAATGGTATCGTCGTCGGAACCACGAGAAGAGCTAGCTGCGCACCCCCGTTTGGCGCTAATCTGCGCGAGCGAGGCCTGCGTAGCAGTTCTTGTCGCCAAATTTCTAAAGGGTTAAGTAAAGCGACTTGCTATTCATTACCTCTCGCTATTCCTTCTGTTTCGTTTCACCTCCTCGCTTCCACCGCCGTCCTCGACGACGATCCCGTTACCGCTTTCTCTCCCTCTTGACTACGGCCACATTTGATTTCCGCGTCCACGACCCATATATATTCTTGCTGCACGTACTCGTTTCGGGACCCCTTGCCATACATTTTCTTTACTCTATCTGCTTGTCGCATTCTGCTGGGACTTTGTCCCTCCGAATCCTCCATCGTTGTAGGTTCACCGGAATGTATAGTGACTAGTCTATATACGCGTTACAACACTCTCCCGAATCCCTGTCTATGGCCTGCTTCCCGCACGGACGAAAGGCGCTTGGACACACGAAGATGCCCGTTGCCTCCTCGATCCAGACGATGAGGCTTCTTCAGTTGCGGCCGGAGCAAGCCAAGAATGAAGGCCGTTCCAGCCACAGCCCGAATTATCCGTCGCAGGCAGCTCGACGGCACCACAGCATACTAGTAGTTCTTCCTCCCTCTCTTGGAAAGTTGCCCCGTCCTCCCAGAGCAATGGACGCCTAGAGCCGGGCATGGTCGTGAAACACGGGCCCGGAAAGGGAGGGTGAGCATTCTTGTGACATTGTCTGCCTGCTCTTGGCAAGGCGAAGGCACACGGGCCGGAGACATAGACACAAAAGCCCGCTCGCTCGCTGACAAGACAGAAGAAGGAGGCGTTATGGGGCGGGGAGTCTGGGGTGGATTCGTCGGAGAGTGGCAAAATGAAGCGCTCGAGCATTGCATACGAGTTAAGTGTCGGCAGACGTAACATGAAAAACAAGACCGTTGACTCACCTTCCAGCACATCCCGCGTCAGCTCAGCACGTCCCGCGTCAGCTCCGAAGCACGTCCACACTCCCCATTCAGTGCCGCACCTCCTCCTCCCCCGCCAGAGCAAATATGGTCGTCGTTCGGGTTTGTTAAGCATGGAACAGGATGTCACCATCTCGGTTTGGAAGAAGCGGTCGTCTACACATGGTGAAAAAGTCAGCGAAGGAGACGAAAAGGAGAGCTGGCTATTACGCGCCGTTACCCATCCATTCCACACCTGCAGCCAGCGCAGCCCACTCTTGCGGTACACCCAGGCCATCCAGTATCTCCTCCAGCTCGCCAGCACAGATGTCCGCCGTCGTCCTAGAGCACGGCTGCACGAGTTGAAGCGTGTAAAGGGCGGAAGAACTTGAAGTGAACTTTGAAAGCAGCAGCGCTTTGTCGAAAGCGGCTAGGCGCTGAAATGGACGGTGAAACGCCGTCGGCGAGGCAGTTGGACGAGGGAAGCACTCGCAAGCACGAGGAAGCGGCGCTGGTGGTGGTGCAGAGCCAAGATCGGCAGGTCACATGCTCCGCAGAAGCAAGTGACCTCCTTCAGCTTCTCCACCTTTTAACTTCTACTGCCACGTCGCTAACTTGGAAGCACGCTCGCCTCTCGCAACGATGTCATGTCTGACACCACACGTTACCTTCAAACAGGGCAGCTCCCCCCGCGGGCCCCGCCTTCCCTTCGAGTTATGGAGCATTATTTTCGAATATCACGCTAAATCCTGTCAAGTTTATCCGACGCTGGCGACAGAAGGATGGTGGGCCTCAGATGAGCTGATCAAGATGAACGTCGCGGACCGCAACTCTCTCCTCATGAGAGGCATGACGGCGCACTATGGCCTCCGCCTTGTTTCTCGCACTTGGAATGAGGTTATTCTTGCGAGCGCAGACCTCTGGACGACGATTCACGTGTACATGGACGAACGCCAGACATACATGACCCCACAAACAATGCAAAACGCCGTATCCCTCCATCTCCGTCTAGCCAAAAACCACCTTCTCTCTGTCTCGCTCTGGGCTGAATCCTTGGTGTATATGCCTGAATTTCTTGCAGCACTTCGCTTGCTCAAACTGAGTCAACACTCTGCGCGATTCGCCTCACTGGAGCTCCTGAACCTCTCGGGTCCTGGTGTTTCATATACCAATATTCTGACTGATCCCTCCCATTTAAAATCCCTCTCACTGTGCTCTGACGGCACACCGTTCAATGACGAGCATGTTCTTGCTACTACGCTACAGGTGGCTCCTTTGCGCTTCGTTCGAATCGCTAGTCGCTATTTTGGTCAATTCCAGATCGTCCGGAAGCACGTTAATTGGCGTCGCGTGCGCATTTTAGCATGCAGCGACAGTGAAAAAATGCTGCGTGCCATTGCCACTTCTGACTTCAGCAATGTCGATTCGATCCAGCTGTTCGCCTTTTCGATGCCCCCCCGCCGACCACTGGAAGGGCCTCCGAGTCTGACAACTACCCTCCCCCACCTAACTTCACTAACCATCGACTGCAAGTCGAGAAACTGGGAGCTCCTCTTAGCCAACATCATCCCGCCCATCCTTGAGCATCTTACTTTCCGCGGCCCCCTTGCTCTCGATCCGAATCGCATTCCTCAGGTGCAGCAAGCCATTACCTCAGGGCACTACGCCAGCGTCACCACGCTCTGCCTTGACCGCATCACCTGTGACGATTCCACCCTCGGCATCATACTGGCTGGCCTCTTATGCCTGCACGAGCTGCAAATCCGAGATGAAACTTCCACTGGTTTCCCAGTGGTTTCGAAGCTCGCCGACTGGGCCCATCGATTCGATAAGGCGCGACATGCAGACCAAGACTATCTGCCGCAGTCTGCCAACCCGAAGACCAACGTTCCTCTTGCGCAACTCAAGACCGTCATTTTTGAGCACGTGGAGCCAGCTCGCAATAGTATTCAGCCCGTAGAAGATCTTCCAGAGGATGCGAAGCTGAACCGCAGCTTGCAGCTCCGTCTTACCCTATCTAGGATCCACGAGTTCATCTACTGCTTGAACGCACTAGTGCCCCTGGTCTCTGCAGCACGTGTGGAGAGTGGGAGAAGATTCGTAATTCGTGGCTTTCATTCGCGGATCGCGCTGCATTCTTGGTCTTGGGAATACAATACCAAAAGGGAAGAGAACGACTATTTCGCGCTGGTTTGCCAAAGAGTGGCCTGAGACGTGAGAACGTGCCGGCAAAAGCTTCCATAGATCAGTATTGTGCAAGCCAAACAATATCATACTGCCCAATTCCAATGCTGCTTTGTTGATACCCTAAGTCGTTGCAACGAAACACGAAGCCAGAGCACTTATCTCACAACCTTCATTTACATGCGCCTCTTTGTACACTCTACTCCAGGTGAGCGCGTATCATCACTGACCGAACTCGTCGTTCGCCTATGCTGCATGCAAAACAGGGACAGGAAATGGATATGAGTCTCCCCCGATTTAAAAAGACGGCGACGACCCACCGAGCTCCAAGGAAGAATCTTGCATCAACGCATCCCTCTCGTAGGCAAGTACGTCGCCGGCTCAGCCTCTGGCTCTGTCGATTCGTCAGTCTTCTGATGGCGTGGACACTTAGTACTGGTAATGCCCGCCTGCTTTCTTCTCGTCTCTCTTGCGGCGGCTCTTGGGTGCAAGACGACGCCTTTAACGGTTGTATCGCTCACAGTGCCAGTGTGACTTGAGCTTCTCGAGCGCGTTGACTGCGAGAGCCGCCGGATCGTTAACGCAAGCACGAACGATAAATCAAAGAACGCACATTCGTTACAGTCCATTCCTTTCCCGCTCGTTAAGGGTGTCCGTGCTGGCTTCAAGCCGCGTCGCAAGCGACACGCGACAAGGAAAAGAGCAGCAGTCGGCGAGCTGCTGACCAGTGAGCATCGATACAAATGAGCAGACACATCACGCACGTTGGTAGTTGTCGTGGAATGGGGCTTGTGCTTGCGAGCTGTTATGGCGGGATGGACCATCCTTCGGATTGACGCCAAAGAGGTCGCGAGCACGAGCGCGAGAGAAGAGACACCGACGCTGTCCAGCAGCGGGTGACCGCCTCGAGCCCAACAGCCCTGCCCAACTTGAAGGAGGAAACGCGACAAGCCAAGATAACGCATTGATGCACTTCCACCTCCTGCATTGGCCCAACGATCTCCAGTCCCTTCAATCCATCATATGCTCCCTGTGGTCGTCCTATAGAAACAAGCCGCCTTTAAGCAGTAGGCAAACGCGAGTAGAGCTCACCCGTTACCATGTGGCGCCGCTCGGGCGTGGGTCCTACGGGCATGAGGCGTCATGATTTTTCTTCAGTACCATCGTATCGATGACAAGGTAATCCCGCGAGGGAAGAGCTTGCAAGTTGCACTGTCCTGTGGAGAATCGTCGACAATGAGCAAGGAATACCAGGCGGGTAGGGCTTTCGCTGGTTGGAAAGGGAGGGGAGAAGCATTCGTGGAGTGCGTGATGAATTTTGCAAGCTGCCTCGCGAATCCAGACAGGCGCCGCTGTTCCTGCGTGCCAACCCGCAGCACTTCGCAAGTTTGTAGACCCGCCGCCGTCATAGCCTCGCGCCTGTTGTCATTTGAAGGCGTGCATGGCGAGCGAGAGATGGCAATAAGCCGGCGGAAGAGGTAATAGGGCCCCGTCAGAAAAAGCTTTCGCCGTCTGCGCCGTCAGCGAGAAGCTCATGGAATAGGCAAGCACGCACGTTGTCGCCTGCTGGCCTCCCTTGCCTGCTGATTCGTTGTGGCGCGTAGATATGTACGGTGTGGCGTGCAGTCTACCTCCCGCGGAAACGTGATAAAGAGCCCTTGCTCCCAAGCCGGTCTGTGATGAATTAGCACTTTCACACAGCAGCAGAGATGGCGACGCACCGTCTGCGGGACACAGCAGACCCCGGACCTCTCCACCTCTTTCCCAGCCCTCTATACTCCTGTCTAAAAGGGTTCGAATAGTGTGCAGTGCTATCGGCAGAAATCGCGCTTCAGCACGCAAAACAGAAAACATCAAGGAAGGGACTTACGTGGGGCCTACACGCCGTGCTCATCGCATTTGGGAGCGGGACACCGCTCCTGACGACGATGACCAGCTAACGTGGCGCTGGAAGGAGGCAGTGGCGTGTGCGCCGGTCGTCGTGGTGGTGCGGAGTAAAGATCGGCGAAGTCACATGTCTTCGGGCCGATCTCGCCTCTCTCTTTTATACCACGACCATGCCGCGAACACCTGTCGCCCCGCGCAGTGGCTCTCTCTCCTCTACGCGCTCCCTCGGGAGGGCTGGAAGATGCTGGGATAGCCTCACGGTGCGTTAATTGTTTGCCATTTCGTGTCGCTGCTGTGCTGACCGTCCCGCTCAGTACGACTGTACAAGTCTGCTTGCGCTGGCCGGAATAAGGGTGGGATGGATGGAGTCGAAGGCAGATGACTCAGAGCGGGACTGCGGGCTCGGATCCAGCATCTACTCAAGCAAAGGAGAGTCGGACGGGGAGGATAATCGAGGAGGAGCTGTCGCGAACAGCGAGAACCAACTTCCCCTCATGCAGGCGGCCATGTCGAGCCAGGTATGCTTCTTACCTTGTTTGCTCAATGCTGACCTTTGTATTGGACAGCATCGCCCGTGAGGCTAGGGAGAGAATCGATGGTGCTAGTCTTTACTCGTGTCGGACTTCCTAGCTTTTTGCTCTCTCTCAGTTACATCACGCTCCCAATGCCGACTCTGTTCCAAAAATGACACCCGACGACAACGACGTCTGCACAGAGTGTGAAGATGAGGCAATCATGCGTCAAATCTGGAAACTAAGCGCTCCGTCGCAACCGGAGGATGAATCGAGGGATGGTAAGACGGTCGTAACGAGGGACTAAGATTATCGTCAATTTTTGGGTCAACAACACGCATACATTCCGCGTGTTTTCTCATTTTGCAGAGTCGGTAGGGAGAAACAGTTAACCACCACGCGTTGGCATCTCTCCCCCGTGTGTATTCATATCATCTGGTATGCTAACAAGTCACTCAGCAACGACTCGTCGACTGCCAAGTATGACTATCACAAAGCCTGGGAGGAATTGCCACGCGGCAAGCTTCGAATCTTTGCTCAACGAGCATTAATAGCCCTCTACTGTAGAGGTAAAGCGCACAAGAAGCTTCATGCGGGTGAGCATCATCGGGTTCCCATCTAACTACCACAGCATGTTACCAGCCCTTTGTCGGAAGAATTTCGAGGCAACCAACGGGATCCGCGCCGGCACAGCCCACATCTCATGCTTCCTCTTTCCCTCGTCCTCACTCCTCTGGTGGCACAGGCGGCCGCGCAGCTACCCGGCCCATCCTGGCGGGTTTGTGCCTTCTTCCGCTGCCTGTCGTGGCTCATTCCCAACCCACAGAAGCCGAGCATCACAACCTCGCTCGAAGACCGGATCAGCGTCGCCCACGGGGCCATCTCGCAGGCTATCTCGCAGCTGGATAGCACGAACTTTATGTTCCCCGATCCAAGTAAGCTGTTCACCGAGTGCAGAAGCTCACCTACAGCGTTGTACAGCCCACTCTTACCCGCGATCCGGCACGCTCTACTCTCAACTCGTGGAGTTCGATCAGCTCACCAACCAGTCGCGGTACGCTGCGGATTTGGGAGGATATTATGGCTCAGCGAAGACGGTGCTCGACAACATGGGAGCAAAGAACTTCTCGGGCTTCAATGTAGTGAGTGTACTCACGCGTTGTTTCTTGGTCTTGTTCCAACTTCAAACTTTCAGCGTCATTCATTAACATCAGGACAATTGCCAGTGATAATGCGGGGACTTGGTTGATTAGCTCAACGATGGCCTGTGTGTAGTCTCTATCTTGTTTGCGACATCTGAACTTGTTATAGGACCTTCGGACACGGGGCTGCTATCGCCTACAAAACCTACAATGTCCCTATCTTTCTTCAGTATGCGAAACAGTCGTGGTGGGCAGCAGTCCCGTACACCCTCACGCAAACAGCGCTTGACGCGGGAAAGATCGCGTCCAAGAGTTTCAACCTCAGCTCGTCATGTCAAGGCAGTATGTGCTTTTCTCCACCGAGGCAACCCCAGCTCATGGTCATTGCACAGTTAGCATGGCTGGCGGGGTATTCTGGGTGCGCTCCCCTTGTGTGTTATGTTTTCATCATGTTGTCTAACATAGCATAGAACAAAGATGTGAACAACTCTGACATCGTCATGATTGCCACAGGGTGCGTATCAGCGAGAACGGGTTTTTTGTGTGTTACTGACACCTGTTACAGCGCTTTTTTCATGTTCGTCCCTCCATGATCCACCGCACATGCAAAAAATCTCATTTGTCCCTTCCTGCAGCCTTTCGGCCATGCTGGCCGAAGCAACCGCGGACGCAATGTACCTTGCCGCGGCAGTCCAGTCCATGTCATTCATCCGCTCGCATCTGTACAACGACCAAGGTCTCGTTAGGGACGGGATATCTGCTCGCGCCACGGACAACTGTGCGCTGGACAAGGTCGGCCTATTCGCATACGACTCGGGGCCTATGATCGAAGGGCTCGCGGTCTTGTACTCTGTCTCGCAGAACACGACTTATCGCGACATGTCCGTCTTGTGCCTGGTTTCCTCCATTTTCCCCACTGAAGGCATCCAAACAGGCTCGATGAGCTGATAAGCGCCGCTCTCAAGACGAACAGCTGGCAGAATGAAACTGGAATCATCCAGAACGGCGGTGCGTTTCGACTCTGGTGCCCATGAGCATTCAGAAATGACCGTCTTTCAAGTTGGTCACACAGGCGACATGATGATACCTCGCGCGTTGGTGGCCGCATATTCCCGCAATGCAACCAGCCCCTCCCTGAGACCATCCATCCGCGCATACCTAGCTGTCCAGGTGCGTGTGTGTCTCCTTCCAAACCGAGACCTTCACGGAGCATAGTATAACGCCGTCGCGGATCTCGCAACACAGAACAACAGTAATATTTATGGCGCGTATTGGAGTGGACCTGCGGGCACCAAGTTTGACACGGGCTACCAAACCAACGCCATCCAAGCTTTGATAAGCTCCTTTGCGCTTGATGACCCCGCATCTCCGAGCTCAAGTGGCTTCTCCTCACAAGCGCCACCCAGAGCGACCAACTCGATCTCTCCCGGGCCCACCCCGCCTCCCAAAGCCAAGGCGTCTGTCGGCGCTATTGTAGGCGCCATTGTAGGCGGAATCATTGCCCTCTGCTTGCTGGGTCTTCTGCTGCTCCGCTGGAGGCGAAAACGGAGAGATATGCGTCAGCTGACAATGCCTTTCCCCAACTCTGCCCTCGATATCAAAGATGCCTCTGCCGGCGATGGGCATTCGCCTTCCCGCCCCGCCGCTCCCAACCCCAAGCGACGCATTCTGCCCGTTCGAAGAGCTCCCTCGCAGTCCCCAAGTTCCGAGTCATGGGCAGCACCGCCGCCAACCCCGGCCAGCGGCGAGGCTCGCGCCGACTTGCAAGAATTGAGTCCGTGGCCTTTGTCTGTCAAGCAGCGCAGCGTCTCAGTAGTTGCGGTTGGTCGGGGACAGCCGGAGCCGACGACGGAGGAGCTCTTGCGCATGCTCTATAACAGGATGAACGGCGCGAATACCAGCATGCGGGTTGTGGACGAGGAGGCGTTGCCAGAATATCGTACAGCTTAGAATATCGGCGTTGCTTATCAAGGCAAGTTATAACTCAGCTAGGCATTCGGTAGCAGCGGCAAGGTAAAAGAGAAGTCGGAGTCGATGGAGTAAAAGTAACAACAATGAGAGTAGACGCAACTGATGTCGAGAAGGCACGAAGAATGTCGAGAATGTATATAAGATATCGTGGGCGGGAATGAGAGTAGGGTCAACCGGGCGATATGGATACTTATGTACCCCGGAAGCAGCGATGGGCCCAAAACAGCGAAGGACGAACACGGTCCCGAAGCAAGGTCGAAAAGATCGTAATGCGTGAGGGTACATGCACAGACATCCGTAGATTCAGACTCCCGAGTGGTCCCAGCTTTTCATGTGCCCGTAAAGTCGATTCCTCGAATACATGTGGTCGTTGTCAAAAACGGCGACAACGAGGACGTCCTCACGCGTTTCAGCGCCCGAAAAGAATTGTGTGGCGCACGATATACAGTCTAAGCCAATTCCGGTCTAAGTGTGGTCGCTGTCGAAAACGCCGTTGACGAGGACCTTCTGGACTATCGCGACGCCCAGAAAGAATTGTGTGACACCAACAGTGTGTAATGCACCACTATATCCACTCGATAGAGGCGTAGGTAATGCAGGAGGCGAGCTACAAAGTCGGATGTGGGAAGCGTGACGGTGACGCATGTGACTTGCAAAGGCACCAAAAAAAGCGTCGTAGAAGCGGGTGTTTACTCTGCGAATGGCGGGAATAGCAGGAGCTGTCGCTTGCGTAGATGTGGAGGAGCGAGATGCTGTCGTGGAAGAAGGGAATATGGTATTGGCAGCGTTGCGTGTGTGTGGTCATTTGGCGAAAGTGGGCGAAAATGGTGAGGTGTTCCGGCACATATGTGTCAAGAAAGACAGTCGCCAGAGTGCAGACAGGGTAGAAGAGGTGTTGGGATAATGTGCGGGCGATGTTGGGTTGACGCTGTTACAGGCAGGCATGGTGCTCAGGCTTTCCAGCCCGACTGAGCACAAAATGAGTGTACCATTCGTTGCCATGAGGATAATAAGACGCACCGACTCAAGTCGTTTCAGACAGAGCTCCTCTCCGCCCTCCACAGCTCAATCGGCAACTCGTTTCAGAGTCGTTGTCGTGGGACTTGCGAGTGCCCCGAGCAGCCAATTCTCGCAGGGTAGGGTCCTTGCCCAGTTGTCGTTGTCTCTAACAGGAGATGAAAACATTAACAATAGAGAGGGCGACAAGCATGCTTAGACGCACCAAGAAGACTAGCGATTCGCTAACCTGCCACGTTCTTGTCTCGAAGAGCTTGTGCATGTCGGTGGTCGACACAGTCGTGCTATGCAGCATCTCACTCAGAAACCGGACGACCAGCGAGCATCATAGCGCACCAACAAGACCCATCTTTCCTTCCTCTTCCCACCATCTCCGTCTTTACTTTTTGCCTTCAAAGGTGGGGGCAGCACGCCTTATCACCTAGCGGAGGAAGGTCAGTCAGATTTCCTGCAGTCGGCCGTGAAAACGCACTAAGAGACACCCGCGCAGCCTTCGAGTACGCCAAGCACGCAAATGGCACGCGCCGCATAGGTCCGTCCCGGAAGCAGTGCTTTCCCTCGAGCATTGCACACGACAGTGGCAAGGCCCACCCGGGGTGGGAGTCAAGACTAAGAAGGATTGACGGGTGACGCAACGTGACTCCGGCCCGTCTTTCCTTCCGAGCCTCCACCACCTCGCCTTGCACGCCTCCACACGCTACACGACCTTCGGGACTCGCTGGCACTTTGGGGAGGATCTTATGGCTGGATAATATGTCGTCAACCATCTCGGTGAGCTGAGCGTCCTTGTTGTACTAGTAGTCCCTTTTTCTGACTCTTTCTCGGCAGATGTGCATCCTCTAACTCTTCGTATGGCTCCCAATCAAGATGAGCTCTGTGTCATTCAAGCTTCTGAGCCCCGCGCTGCTCGTACATCCTCACCGCCCCTGCCTATCAACGACGACCTGCGTGAATCGCACAAATCAGTATGCCCCCGCAAAAGTACTCGGGCATTCGGAGAAGGGCGGTGGAGGCGCATATACTAATAAAACAGCAGCTATATCAGGAGGGGCTGTAAGCATCTGTTGTTCCGATTCCGCATTCGCTTTCCGCACCGCTGATACTTGCCCTCTTTTACATATCAGGCTGCGTCGGATATCCCCCCCAACCCCCCTTGAATGGTCATCACCAGCTTGCGCGACAGTGGCGGCACCTCTTTTTGACACTTGCTTCCCCAACCATCTCGTCATTGACGCCGTTTTCGACAACCTGCCGACGAGTACTCCACTTGATTCGACACCTGGTCCCGGGCCTGCCCTGGCCCCAACTCTCTAGACATCCAAAGAGCCGTTCCGGGACAGAGAGCCACGATGCAATGTGCATTATCATTCACTGGCACTAACATCTCTGCATACATATTTCGTGCTGACTTGTATCGTAGGTACCGCGATCGCCACCAAACTCACCTTGCTGAAGCTGGCTTTGTCACCAACTCTCCCCGCCGCAATCATAATCGCACAGCAGGCTTCGCCCTCGAATCTCACCATTCGTGCGCCGACAACCACGGTCCGAGCAGGAGCAACGACGTCGGTTTCCCGAGCAGACCGAGAGCTTCACTGCTCCGAATTTGCTGGGCCCATTGTGGACTTGAAGGTGGAACGACCTGCTATCAAGGACCAGCCGTCAGTGCTGCAGCTCGATGGCAGGTCTTGAAACTATGCCGGCGCCGACGTTCGAGCCTGGCGGTTTGTGAAAGAAATCCAGAGAGTTAGCGGCCTCAAGTGAGTGTGTTATCTCGTGAAGCACTTAATAGCTTCTTCATGAGCAGATATCTCATCTCTATTCCACAACCTCCGAGTCAATAACATGTCATGAATAACTGTACTATGGGCGCTGAGGGGAATATAATCGTAAGGAAGTCCGAGTCAATGATGTATGTATCGATAGCAGCATAACGAAGAGAGCGCAAGTAGACGAAATCAATATCGTAAATACAGTGTTTGAGAATAAGTCAAGGCTGGGCCAACTGGACAGACTTGTCCGGCATGAACCCGGAGAGCAGCGCCCCAAACAACCGCGGAGGATGAATGCGGTGCCCAAGCGCATTCGAAAACATTGGGAGGCGTGAGGGTATATGCGCAAGCATAGGGAGATACAGATTTCTAGGTGGTCGTGGCTTGCAACACGGATGTAGAGCCAATCCGGCCATAAATGTGGTCGTTGTCGAAAACGATGTCAACGAGGACCTCCTCCCCCGTGGCAGCTCCTGGAAAGAATTGGGGGCTTCTATTGGCATCTAATGCACCACTGCATACAGTCGATAGAGGCGAAGGTAGCGCAGGGATAGAGCTGCAAAGTCGTCTGTGGGCAGCGTGACGGTGACGGCAGTTACTCGGACCTTCGAAAAAGGCACCGAAAAAAGTGTCGTAGAGGCGGCCCACAAATCGCGGGAGTGGCAGGAGCTGGTACTTGTGCAGATGTGGAGTATGGCGTTTGCCACCGTGGGTGGTATTTGCGATAATGGCCCTCGTTTAGTGAAGAATACAGGCTTCCAGCCCGCTATAGCCAGGAAGGCGCAAGCTTGGCGACAGAGAATGTGCGGGCGGACTTCAAGTTGCCGCTCACGTTGGGTAGATGCTGCCCGCTGTGATGACTCGCAGCAGCAGCGACCCCACGCGAGAAGTCGCCAATCAAGATGAGGGCGGGTTGGTTGAGCCACAAACTCCGTGCTAGGCAAGGCGGAGACGAAAAAGGAGGAGCTCGGATGGGTGTTGGCGGGGTAGAGGTTGATGATGAAGATAGTGGGGAAATATGACGATTCGCGAGAGGTCTAGCGGGTCCTGCTTCAAACGGAGAAGAAAACGAGCTGAAAACTCTGGTTAGCACTTGACAAGGGACGAGCTGGCAAGGGCCACACACCTCCCGACTCCAATTCCAGATTCCCCCTCTCTTGTCCTCTACACGTGTCGCCGCTCGAAGCATTTGTCCTCGTTCTGTGAGCTGTGCAAGCGCTGAGTGCTTGCACCAGTGTTGTCGCGGCATTCGTTGTCGGTGAGCCAGATTAGCTTGAGAGGACGTCATTTCAGTCGCTTCAAACAGAGAAAGCGGGAGAGACGCGCGCACCGACTCGGATTGCGAGACTGCGCGTCAACACTCGACATCGACATCTTGCTCTTGTCTTCATCGTTGACCGGGAAGACCATGGTTAGTGCCTCGCGTTAGGATCTCGTCGTATAAGCCCGCAGAAGAGCGGGTGCCGTCGTTGAGACCGCCAACTGGCGGGACCATGGAGTCGGGAAGAGAGAAACGCGTGCATGTCACACACCCCGCTTCCTGTTTCGCGACCTCGATGATCCCGCCGGCCTCACACTCGTCAAGCCCTCCAACGAGCATGTCGGGTGCTCGCCCTTCTCCACCAAGCATTCAAGCTGCTCACGCTATGTCGGCGAACGGAGCAACGTGCGTCTTCGCGCACATTGGCCCGTATTTATCGCTGACTTCTAGCATAGCAATGAAAAGCTCTACTCTCGCGCTACCGTGTAGCAACTCGAAAGCACTCATAACGACGACAAGGACTGGGTAATCTCAGCAAGTTGGGTTAGCCTTCAATCTTGGGGTGGTTCTCAGGGGGCAGCGGTCGACGAACGGGTATGCATATCGGTGCGCAAAAGCACACATTCTCTACTCAATGTCGTTGCTGACGGTCTCCCCCAACAGGCTCTCGTCTCCTTGGCCTTACTTCTCAGTCGCTAAGAGAAGGCTCGGGAGCTGTTTTCCCCCTGAACATGCCCCGAATATCGCTCGCTGTCGAGAGAAGAGAGCGACAGTTGTCGGAGCCAATTTTCACCACCTATCTTCCACTCATCCACGAAATACTCAACTTCTCTCCGCCATTAATGCCATATCGACCCCTCGGTACTTGTTTCATCTCCACAGCTTTGGAGCTGGCCCGGCGGCGGGGTCGCGCGCTTTGGCTAGCAAGCAAGCATCGTCACATTGCTCGCGCTGGCCAGACGACACAGGCGTCTTCCCCTGTATCCGTTCAAGAGATTCGCGATGCCCAACCGAAATACAACGAGCGCTCTTATTGTTGCTCGACAACGCCGCCGCGTTTGAAGGTACGATTTCCTTTTTACCTCAGCTTTCATGTCTGAAGTGTCGTTTAGCTACAACGACGACAACATACACCCCAAAGCAACATAATCGTCACCCCTTCCTTCACCACCAGCTCCCCTTTTCCTCGTCGGAGCCTGCACCACCCGCACGACCGACTCGAAATTTTGTCCGGATTTGGCAAGTCACGTGCGCCTCGCCGTCCGCAGAGAGTGCGACATATCTCCTCCAGCACCGCAGCTATCGCTCTAGCGAGCGTATATCCTTGTATACCATGCTATTCGACTTCTACCCAATTCTTTCAGCTCCGCCATTCGAGGGGGAAGACCGCCGTTGAGCGCGTTTTCTCCTGCGGTCGTATGCGAGGCGTAGACGATGTCTCTGCGTCGAAGGGCTATATATGCGATTAGCTCTGCTGCGGATGCCAGCTCTGGCTTGACGGGTAGACTCTGCTCATGCTGGATGTCTTCCCAGTCGGCGACAACGGCACGAGTCTCGTCTCGCTCACAGCAAATACCCTGACGACAATGAATCCGAGTGATTGCTCCCTATCGACTACATCGACCGCTTTCATCTGCCTTGCCATGACTCCGTGGCAAGGCAATTCACATCGTGTCGCTGATTTCTCACTCACAAACTCGTGTCCGCATGTCCAGCGTTGATCTCGTATTGTCAAGCGCTAGGGCGTGTCCCAGTCCGCTTGGAGTCGCTGGGGCGGGCTGGATTGTGGAGGAGGAGGCGGTGGATGCTGTATTGAAACCAAGTGAGATGAAGTCAAAGAGACAGACGGCTACACACCTATGGATGACGAGGGAGTAACTTGAACTTGGGGGCTACTCGTAGTTGCAGTTCGTGGGGAAGCTAGAATACGAGTAAGCGATAATCAATTATCACTCCCTTAACACATACTGAGAATTGAGCTGGAAGGAGCGGGTGAGGTCGAAGCACGGGTGGGCCGCAGGGAGGGGGGGTACTCGTTCGGAGGAGGCGCCGGAATGGCTCTCAGACGACGCTGATGCGAGGGGAGGAACGAACGTGGGCAGAGTGGGAATGATTCCCTGGGACTTGTCAGTCCTTGTTGTCTGCGGTGGCGCATTCAGGATGCTCGATAACAAGCTGCTCAGTCCGCGTCCTCCGAACTGGTCCGTCGTTTGGCGGGCCTCCAATGGCGGTTGCATTGGCTGGGGCGGATGCAGCGAAAAGAGCGACGGCGAGGATGGAGAGGTGCGGACAGGGAACGAAATGAGCTCTAGCGGTTGATATAAGTAAGTGCATTTACTTTCCGCTCGATCTGTCAAGCTAAATTCAGCGTGTAGTTGCGCGGATAATAGCTGTTGACCTCCAGAGTCCAACGTTCTTGCTGAGCATTTCACTTTGGGTTGACCGCTAACCTATAGGCGATCTTGCAAGTCTTTGCTCAGGCTGTCTTCCGCCCAGCTGAAGCGTGATCCTCGCTCGCTCAGGCCGCAGCTCACTATCAGTTCCTACCACGACACGAAGAGCCCCCCGCGGAGCGCTGACTACACCATGCGCAGAGTCAAGCAAGTACAGTTTGCCGGCGAGATGCGCAGAGTCTGTCGATGGGTGTCGAGAAGCAGATGAGGAGTGCTGACTCATCAGCGTGACCATTTTTCTTTTGCTTCTTGTCGACCACAACGAGCCGGAGGGTGGAACGCACGCAGCGGCCGGACAGCCTATGGAGGCGCTCCAGGACCTCGTACGCCTCGCGCTACTCCGTTTTCCAAGGCTTTCTCACCCACTTATAGCTAGAACGGACACTTCTCGGCGCGACGAGCAGCGAACAGCAACGACGAGTGCGGCGACTCCGACACTCCAGCCAGCGGTGCAATGGGCCCCCAGCACATGAGTAGCGACTAGTCTGGGAGTGCAGCACCAAAGGCTGAAGTCTTGGGCGAGAAACGGCTCGCTCAAGGTGCGGGTTTGCGCTACTTGCTTCTGTGCGCTTTGTGGAGCTGAACACGTCTTTCGACAGCCTTCCTATGCTCCTTCTTTGCCCTAATCAATTGCAAGTCTCCACTGCCTCCGTAATCCCCAGCCCCCATCCGTCGCGTCTTCCTTCCCAGCAAGCAGACAAGTCGGCTTCTTGCTTTACATGCGCCTATGCAAGTCGGCCGAAGAAGGAAAAGCCTATCCTCGGATGCGTGGACGCTCTCGTCAACTGCGGGCTGGACGGAGGGAAGAAGGGAGGAGAAGACCTGCAATTGGGTCTTGCATTCCCAGCACGGCTGCATGTGCGTATTCGGCTCCTCTATTACCTCTCCACACGCTTACCGAGCTCCAAGACGAGTTCTTCTCCGTCATCATCAACTTAGTCTTACTTGGAACCAGGCCTTCACCGACCATGATATTGCCCTCTTGCTTCGACAACGCCTCCCTCAATCCTAGCTGTCGTCCCAGCTCTATCAACTCCTTTCCGACCACCATATGGCCTTGTTGGTCTTATTGTCTTCGAAACGTCAGCGCGAAGACCGCATCTCTGTCCCACAAACTCCTCTTCCCCTTCCGTTGCCATTTTTGTTCCCCATAACCGACACGCTAGCACCCTCCCCGTTGAAGCAGGCTTTGCTGTTTACCAGCGCCGGTGCTTCTCGTTTGGGCACTTGCGATTGGCTTCACGATACAATCGAGCACGACACAATGTCCGCATTCGAGGCATTCGATCCCTTCATATCGTTGGACGAGGCGAACTGGATGGACAAATGGAGGGAAATACTGTCCTTCGAGACGGCTGTCTCCACGGGTTTGCCCCGTCGCTGGCTGCATTTGCGCTCGCGGAAGATAGCCGCAACGACTGCTACTTGGATTTCGCCGAATCAGGAAATGGCAGGTGAGTTAGCGAAGTTTGCCTCGTTTGTTGGTAAACTCATTTGTCTGCTTCTTTCTGTAGGATCTTGTATGTGCCCTCCGTTCTCCAACAACGCTGTCCCCTTTACTTCGTCCTATTTCTATCGCTTTCCCACTCTTCAATCGACTCCGTTCATGGCACATATCTTTTGACTAAACTTTGGCTTCTAGACTCGATACTTCTTCTACTTATTATTCCGCTCGTATATCTCCACTTATATTCTTGATTCACCTCCAGCTTACTTTGTATCAGCTTCTCTTTGCGCTACATGGACACCCACCTTCCCCAGCTATGGTTTTTCCTTCTTTCCGCCATTGTGCTATGGGCATTTACTTGTTACTCTCCAAATCGAATGCGTACTTTTCCTTCCTCTCACTGGCGAGCTGCCTTGCCCGTCTTGGTCGTCGCAGCACTCGGTGGGATAGCGCTCGTTTGCCATTAACATTAGAAACTATATACATAAATATAAGGAACAGTGGCATTACTTATACTACTGAGTCACGGACAGTTTCGGGGGCAGTTGGCAGGCCACGAACTGCTGAGGTAGCGCCAGGATGTTGTCCGTTTTGCGCTCCGGCCCCTCTGTCGCGCGAGCCAGGCGCAGCGCCGTATCCTCCAAGAACGACATGTTCATGTGGAGCGGAAAGACTAAGCTGTGCTCGTCCAGCCCGATCGGGATATTGAGGATATAAAGGACCAGACGGCCGTTGCTCCGCCGCGCGCGGTCGATCCAGTCATCAGCGTTGGGAACGGCAGCTCGGAGTGCGGCGTGATTGGCAGGAGTCAGCGCGGAGCTGATCACCATGTCATCGAGCTCTAGCTTGCCCCACACGACGCTGACTGTTGTGGTGATTACGGGGCGCGGGTCGGCACCGGCGGCGGCCTGCTGCTGGCTAGCGGACAAACGCTCAATAGCACTTTGGCAGTGCAGGACCACAGAATTGTCAACGTAGAATCTGTGCACCATAAGGCGGAAGAAGCAGAGCTGTCGCTTCGAGAACGTAGCGCGTATTCCTGGAGCAACGTGGACATCAGATGCAGCATTGCAGCTGGGAGAAAGAGAAATCACGTACGCGTGAATTCGGCCTGGGTCGCAGCGCAGGTAATGCGGTGGTGACCCTCGCGCCAGTCGCTTTTCTGGCAGGCACGAGAGCAGTAAATTCGGACGCGACAGGAAGAGCACCGGCGGAAGATCGTGCGATTGTCGATGCGGCCGCACTGCAGGTAAATAACACATTCAGCGAGATAGGTACATTGTCGGGGAAGAGGCTTACCGGTGGATTATCACAGGCAGCCAGTCGAAGGAAGGGAGGCTTGTGCTTTAGGGCACTGAGCATCTGTTCTTGGTAAGCCGCGCTCCGCTTGAAATTGTCCCAGACTTCATTCAGTCTTGCGTCGGGAGTGTTGTCCAGCGGCGAGGCAACGATGACCTTGATGGACTGGGTAATGAGCGGCAAAATCGATGGGAAGCAGACGCCGGCCGGCAGTTGCGTTTTGATGAACTCCGTAAGGCACAGCAGAAGGTGTTCGTCTGGCAGGAACTGCGCCGAATGAAAAATTTGGGGAATAACGTTGGCCTTCAGTGCCTTGCGGAGCGCATGGGGACTCGTTGAAACCGTTATGAGAATGAGATCGAGAGAGTATCGAAGCGTGGAGCGCCAGAACTCGTGTCCCGGATGGTCGGACCGAGAGACATCGGGCAGAGGGTCGAGAGTGCCTTTCAGTAGGTTCAGCACCTCCTTGAAAGCACGATGAGATGCCAGGCATTCCGCAAGGACCATGAGCCCAGTGGGGCTTGCACTCCTGAGTACCTCGCTGACGAGGAGCGCCAGCTTGAGCGGTCTGGAGCAGTAAATGAAATGCATAGTGGATCGGGATTGGAGAGAGCCAACCAACGCCAGATGGGTCTGGATCAATCCAACCAACGTGGAGACTCCATTCCTACACACATCCAAGATCTCGTCGAGCTGACGGTGGTTAAGCATCAGGGGGAACATGAAGACGAAGTCATTGAACAGCTTTATGTCCACCCCCTCCCACTGTCCGCGTTGGCCGATGACAAACTCCCACGTTGGTATGAAGAGCCGAAAATACCCAGGCGTCTGCTGCATCTTGTGAGATGGCCCTTCGGCGTCCGTCGGGATACCCCCCACATCGTCGTTGCATTTGGCTTGCCATTTATGTTCCAGATCGGCCGTGAAGTGTCCCAGGGATGCTAGCAACACCGTCTTGGAAGGCAGTATGTCGACAAGCTCTTCGGTTAGCTGCAGAGAGTCGTGGAAGACGTACAAAAAGTCCACCCAGGCGACAACAAAGCCGCATAGCTCAAAGACCCCGTCAGGGAGTTCACCGGTGCGCACGAAAAGATGCCCCAGAATCCAGAGCAGATGCCGAATCTGGGTCTTTGTAACTCGAGATAGAGTCTCTAGTTCAGCGGCTGGCGGGATTCGAGATGGATCCAGTATGGCGAAGAAAACGGCAAACAAACGGCCACGCAGTGTACCGTCTGCCCCTGACCAGATGCCTTCAAAGCGGCGATAGTCGAAATCGGAGCAACCGGGTTTGCATGCGGCAAGCGCAATCTCCTAAGAACAATCAGTGGTCGTCTATGAAGCCGTCTAGCGTCTCACTCGATGGGAGGCCGAGAGCTTTCTGAGCTCTCGCATGTGAGCGACAGCTCGTGGATGCATCGTAGGAGTCGGGACGATACCCGGTTACCGCATCGTCACGCGCCCCTTTCCTCTCCCCCGCCAAGAGAACGGTATTCTCCTGCCTTTGCTTGGGGGCGAACGTTCATTCCACGCAGCGTAACCGATGCTGTGCGCGCGCACAATGACAGTATTCTATGCAGCGGCCTCGGCGCATTCTCTGATTTACACGCTCTCATATAATTTCGTGTACTCGGAATACCTGAAACACTGTACGCGGTCGGTCAGAATAGACAAGGATGAAAAAGGGTCAACGCACAGCTACACACTTTGAATTGCTCGACCTGTTCATAACCCTAAACGACCTGCCACTCCCCATCCCCGCGTCATTCGTTCACCCTCCATATCGATCCCCTGTCGTGCGCCAGCTCATCCTCCGCTAACTTCACGTTCAGCATGAACATCCGCCCGCGAAAGTACGACTGCTTGTAGGCCGGTTTCCCAGAACGCGCTTGTGGTGCTGTTAGCGCCATCCTCACCGCTCGACAGTGAGAGAAGAGGCGGCTTCGAATACGGAGAGTTGGTGGTGGGCGCCACGGGTGCACTTGTCGAGTATGGAGAGGTGTGTTGCGCGTGTGGCGGGAGTATGGGAGCAGGGAAGGTTGATACCGCCACTATCTTTCTTCCTACACGAGGAGAAGTCGATGCCAGAAAGCTTGAGCAAGCAAAGGACATCGCGTCGAGTTTTGAATCATCCGGTGCATGAAGCGACGATGTTTTGCGTGTAGTATCCGTTAGAAAGCTATATAACCACTCTTGAGCGAGTCTTCAACGGAGTACTAGTCAGTGAATGCGAAAAGACAAGATGGCCGTTGACGCACCGTTGGCCACCCAGTCCACGTCCCGCGCCAGCTCGACGCGCTTTTCCGGACCATTACATCCATCCCAAGCCCCTTCCAGCGCGCCAGCACGAATGTCCAAGGCAGTCCTGAGGAATGAGTCGCGCTTGAGCGGGGGGAAAGAGGGAAAGGAAAGACACACGTGGCGCCGTCCACACATCCCCCTCAGCGGCTTGAGGCATCGAGCGGTCGTGCTAAGGGCCGCCGTAGCGATTCCAGGGCGGCCGCGCAAGGGCGGAGCGCGCGCCGTCTGCGGCTCATCGTGGTGCGGAGAGGAAAGATCGGCGAGGTCACATGGCCTCGGGCCGATCGCCGCTTCTCTCTTCTCCACCACGACCACGATCATGCAGTCTGCGGCGCTTTCCTCGCGCGCTCTCGCCTGCGCGGCGCGGCTCGGGGCTTTCAAGGGAGCCCGTCCGGAACCTATCGAAGGTGCGGCTGCTGAGCACGTGCGCTGTCGCTGACCGTCCCTCGCAGCGTCGGCCTGCTTCTCGATGTCCGACTGGGGCTCTGGTACTGGGGGATGGCCAGCGTGAAACCTTCTACGAGGGAACTAGTGCGTTATCGTTTCCCTCCGTGCTTGCTTGTTACTTACTTATTATACATGCTCGCTAAGCGCCATTCCCCGGTATGCTGTCGAGCGCCCCACACTTGCGCGGCGCATCCCCGAGGCCTCAACGTTGGACACAACCTCGCTCGTCTCACTCTCATAACCGTCTCCAACGATCTCTGTCCTTCCCCCGAACCCGGGTCCTTCCCGCCGCGGCGCTGGCCTGCCAGTGAGCGAAAAAGTTTTTTACTGCCAAAAACACAGTCCGTTTGGGCCTTGGCAGACCACCCATCAACGCATCCTCAACTACTCAAACACAGTGCACGTCTGGAACGGCTTCATCGACATATGGGCCCGCTTTCGCGAGGAAGATGCAGGCCGTGTTGGTCTTGACTGACCTCGATGCGCAAGCGACTAGCGGCGCGGGAAAGAAGGCGGGTTCTGGGACGAGTGGTGGAGGGAAGACTGACCGGGACACTGGCAAGTGGCCCGTGTCAGGCGCGAGGAGCGAAGGACAGAGTTCGCTGGAGACATTTTGTGAGTGTCTTCGAGCGTAAAACTTACACAGCTAACACTGTTAACAAGGCCGCGCTCTGGAACTGCCACGCGAGAGGAAAGACTCGGAAGGCGACCAGCGACGGGCCGCGGGTTACAAAGTACGCGTTGCGCCAGTATATGGGCCAGGGAGGAGAGTTAGCTGAGACGGCCGGCTCGCTCGTCTCCCCTTCCCACACCTCCCACACTCAATCCAAACCGCACTCGCATTCGCCCTCTTGTTCCCTCTTGGCCAGCCATTTTCAAGTTTAGTCGCTATCGCCTGCAGGCGTGCGGGCCAGCAACAAGCTCGAAATGAGTCCACCCGCCGCTCTTGTTATCGCGCTGCTGCAGCCAGGCCCCCTTGTCGACACCCGCGGCCTCTCAGATCTCCGCCCTGGGTCTGCGGTCGGTCGCCGGCCGGAATCACGTGCCGATCCGGGCGAAAACGGCCTTTTCTTCTCCACGACCACATCCATGTGCCACACCTGCCTTCAGCTCTCCTGCCCGCAATTTACTCCTACCACTGGTTCACGGCCACTTTGTTCCTCGCCAACGCGAGCAACGGGCAAGAGCCGCAAGACAGACGGGGAGTGGGGCCAGGTTTGTGGCAACGGCCATAGCTCTCCGCTCAATATCAGTTGCGCAAGCAGCCGCTCTAGCATCTCTCGTCACATTACCCTGGACGGTTTCCCGCCTATGCAGGTCAACTTACGAGGCGAAACGTCCGCCACCTAACGCAAAGCTAGCTCGCCAGGGAGCTTGCCCATAATCATGTCTCCCCCTCCGCGTCCTCATCCCACGTCACCGATGCATCACCCGCCTTCCTTGCCCGCACCCCCCACCACCCTCGTTGTCCATTCGGCCATCGCTCGTTGTCCACTCTGCCATTTTTTGCCAAAATCGGCCAGGTCACGTGCCACGCCGGACCTCCGGCGCTGACCGCCCTCCATACATCTCGACGACCATGCGGAGTACCGCCATGTGGGGTGTCTCTCGTGTTGCCCTACATGTAGCGACACTCATTGCATTCTTCCAGCTCTCGTTGCTCATGTCGTCGTCAGCGCAGACGTGCTTGGGAGAAGGAAGGGTGGCGGGCGGGGCCGGGATGGATAGCATCTTGGGCAGGGCGATTGATCGTCGCGGGAGTGGGCTTTTGAAGAGCGGGCAGCGGGCAATCACCTTCCTAATCCTGTGTGGCGACTAGCAAAAGCGATACTTCCCTGGCTCGCGGGTATAGCGAGTGGATCGAATTGGCTCTCTCCTTACTCTCACTACTATTTCTGTTTCTTATCTCAACTCTGCCCTTGAAAACAATTGCATTTCTCCCTCCGTCTCTGCTGCATGTATTCTTACTGCACCAACCCCGTCTGGCTACCAACTACTTGTTCTGTATATGTTATCAAGCCGCTGCTTTAACAATGTGGAGCTGGATGAAAGTGAGGCGGAGAGTCTTGGAGGGCAGGCTAGCGCCTTCGGCTCCGCCCAGTATACTTATCTACATGTCGTCACGGTTGGCCGCGTTTTGCTCGTTTTCGCCCCGCTTGCTCACCCTTCCATACTGCCAGCGAAAGCGATGTCAACGGCGAGGAAGATGCCCTCTCACCTTTGATCTTGCGGGTGGTTGCTGATTCCGCGTTGGCCCTTGCAAGGGATTCGTTCCCGATGTAAGACCCGCGGAGTTTGAGTATCGACAAGTCATGGTCGCGCGGCATCAGAGATTTGACAATTCTGCAAGTTGGCGGTAGTAGACAAGAACAGAGTACGAAGGACTAAGGAATAATGATACTCTATCGGCGTGTCGAGCGATGATACATAGCCCACGGGGCATTCCCCCGACCTTCGCAGGTGGAGGCCTGAGTGCCCGTCTTGAAGCGGCCACCAATGAACCCCGAGGCATAAAACGCGCAAGGTTCATCTCCAGCTCTGTACCCAGCGGCAGGATGTACTTCAGCCCGTATCGAAGCCACTGTCCATCTTGTGAAAACGGTCCACAGACACAAGACGGGCCATAGTTTCGTGTTCGACAGGTGTATTCCCCGCGGAGCTCCCCCAGGAGAGCAGCGACATATACGAAAGACGCCAGGCATCTTGCCGCGGTCACGGTCTTTCCAACGGACAAGACTTAGCACTAATGTGAAACGCATAGGAAGAGAGAAGCCATGGTGGCGATGTCGGGTGTGGATCGACGAATGAGCGGATGGTAGAGTACGTCGGGGAAATAATTCAAGGGTCGGTGTTTGCCCACGACTGCGGTGCCGATGAACCACGGCAAAGAGGCGGCATATACAGCTTGACCAGCGGCAGCGCATCTTATGCTGCGTGAAATCGTGGACCGCGTGCGGGTATCTGAGAACGCGCATAAGGATAACATAGAGTCAGGCGACAGGATACACGCACCATTCTCCATCTGAGTACCCGCATCTCATCGAGCAGAAGAAAGCCTTCCTCGGCTGGCCAATGAATGTTGCCCTCGGGCTGTCGGGCAGCTCAAGCTCAGACTCTCGCGGGTCGGGCAGCGAACGCGGTAATCTCTCCAATGCGGGCAAGCACGGGCATCTGGAGGAATCGCGGGCAGTATAGGGAGGGAAGAGTGCAAAGAGGAGAGGGACTGCCGGGCAGGAAGCGCTACAGGGTGGATCAGCGAAAATGCAAATGCAAGGCGGATGATACACACCTTGCCCATGTACCGTCCCCGGGCCTTCGCGGCCATCATCCCAGCAGCTTCATATGAAACAGCACGACCTCGAGGTAGGGAGAAGCCGCGTATGGCGCGGGCGGGAAGGCGACCCGCGTCTATCGAGGAGAGTGGTAGAAGTCGCAGAAGGCAAAGGCCGGAGCTGGGATGAAATGACGATGGATGGTCTTTCTAGGGGACGATTCACGAAACGAGTCAAGCCCGAGGCTATCTGACTCATCCGAGAAGCGCAACATCTTCTCCTTCATCCACATGGTGAGGGGTATGCCCTGCCGCTTTCGCAAATCTCGCTCCTCTCCCAGAAACGGCGCCGATACCGTCCGGATACTAGTAGACGCCATTATAAACGCGTCTAACGAAGGTCTAGCGTGTTGAATAGTGAGGCCAAAATGATTGTGTAGTTTGAGGAGGGTACGGTGGAGCAGGAGATACACTCGACATAGCGTTAGGCCGCGCGTACGCCGCGATACCTGGACGTCCTTGGAGGGGTTATCGCGCACGCGACTTCCATTTTCGGACGAGGCAATCGACTGTGGATGGGGAGGGACATGGTGATAGAGGTAATGAATGGTGGGGGCGGTATGTTGATCTCGCTTTCGAGGACTGCAGGTTCCGTTTGAGAGCGAATATGGCTGCCGAACACGCAGGTACTGCAGCAGCGTCGCCGAGAGTGCTCCCGGCTCATCAAGCCCTTGCTTCTAGCCGTGCAATATCTGTCTAGCGCCACGCGGCTTGAGCCGAATATATCTTCGAGGACTTCAACTTCGAAGAGCTGTGGGATAGTCAAGGCTAGCACACATGATAGGGCGGAGGACGCACCTTCAAGTCGAGTACATTCCTTTCCCTCGCTTCGGTAGCGAGACGGGGCAAGGAGAAGGGCAGTAGTCGGAGAGCTGCGGACCGGCAATGAGCACCCATACGAACGACAAGTACAATCACGCACGTTGTTCCCCGTTTTCGAATCCATCCATCCATCGTTCTGCTAGTTGCAAGCGCGAGAACCGGCAAGCCGAACGCAACGACGACTACACTTTCTCGTCGCGCAGAGGGCGGGTTATTGGGCTTGAGGATGAGTGGTACCTGAGAGCAGCCAGAATGTAGCTCTCGACACACGCGCTGTATTCATAGGGATACCGATAAGTCAGAAAAAACTTCAAAAGAGGAGAACGTCGACGCACCGCTGCCTATGCCCGTGTCCTGCGCGGACTCACCACGGCCTTTACTCCCTCCCGCCCATCTAGTACCGTTTCCGGGCGGCCCGCGCGGTCACCGAAGGTATCGAAGCGCCTTGGGCGGCTAGCAAAGGTCAGCCGCCTAGGCCTTTCGCGGGCTGCTTTCGCGGGCTTGAGGCACGGGGGTCTCTGTCTTGAATGTATCTTCCCGCAGGCGATAAGGCTGTGGCACAACGGAGCAGCCGCCGCGCTCGCGCGAGCAGGGAACGGTGGTCGTGGTGCGGAGGCAAGAGCCGGATCAGCAGGTCACATGCTCGCCGGGCCGATCTTCCTTCTCTCTTTCACACTACGACCACGACGATCTCGACTCCACCGTCTTACCCGCTTGGGGGCACCGGACACGCGTCGTTTGGAAGGGCCTAGAAGGACGTCGATGGAGAGTCTGCCGCGCGGTGCGTCTCTTTGGCGTGTTTTTGTGTTGGGAATCCGCTGACAGTCTCGGTCAGCACGAGTATGCTTGTGGCGCGGCGGTGGGAGGGAGGAGAGTATCAGAATGGATGGTGCTGAGGGCGGAGCAGTCAGCGTGGGACTGCGGGCTCGGATAAGAGTGCGTCATCGTACTCTCAATTTGGTTGTCGTGCTTACTCGCACTCGTATGGTAGACAAGCACAATATCTCCTCTTGCTGCCCTATTCGTCGGCAGCCTTACGCTGGACGATGAGCCGACATGTCTGGTGTGTCCCGCCTACCTCTCGTTGCTCGCTCGCTCGCTGACTCACTCTTCAAGATGGCGCCTTGCGGTGGACTGGTGGGCCTTCACCCTGCGGTGGGGATATCCTATGCTAGAGTATAGCGGGATGAACGTGCGTGGCCGCATCCGCCCAGCCTCATGCATATTCTGACTTTGCTCGTCAGCTTAAGTTCGCCGCGAGACAGCGCTGCCACCCCTTCCATTCCCTCCGCGACGAGCGCTGTAGTCACAGGCGACACTGCGCAGGCTCACGAGGGCATACTGGCCTGGGGCTGTTCACGACGGCAGGTCGGCCTACGACTATCCTTGCCCCAGTCACCCGACAAAACGCGATCGCCGATGGTGTGTTGTCGACTGGGCGGCTACTCATCTTACGTTTTTTTTCCTTTTACAGGCGCACATTCTCCTCAGGCGGCCCTTGCACCTCCACGAACAACTGCCTCTCGATTACAGCCCGCAAAAGTTGCCGCTTAACATCTGCCCGGCAGCCCGCCTGTATCCTTATACATTAGGCTGAAACCTCCCTCGTTCGAGCGAAACGACCAAGCGCAGTGGGATAATACGCTCCGGGAGGCTGTTAATGGGCTTGAGCAACTCATTTCGAGGGTCTGCAGTATCGGAGGTACGTCCTTGGACTTGTTTCTCAGTCAGTCTTCGTGTTTATTTCTTGCAGACCGCAACAAGTGCAGCACCAGCTCCATCCGCATTGTCCTCTCTTGCTGCCAAGGCGGTGCTCTACCCTTTCCGACGTCAATTGCTTGCGCCGTCAACGCCGCTTGTTGCCGAATATGGCGACGATGTCCAACACGAATCCCTCCCCTGCTCGGCCTATTATGCCGCAAGCCTTTTCCGCCCGGCATGTCTTCACGATGCTCCATCATACACCGCTTTTCCAGCGTGATTCCGTTGCCCGTTTTGGAGGTCACTTTTGCCCTCCTCGTTCCGCGTCGCGGTGTCCTGTTCTCCTGGCGGACAAAACGAGCAACTCGAATATCCGCGACGTCGACGTCATTCGAACCCGTACAAACAACATCTGGGCCACGACGTCAACACACTGTCTTTGCAACAACAGCTCAGCGTCTCATTCGCCACCCCCAGCGTTGTTCCACCCACGCCACCACTTCCCTCTTTCGCTTCCAACCCCGCGCGCCCTCGCGATGGAGCTCGCCGTTGTCAGAACCGACACGAATGGCACCAGTTCCGCCGTTTTTCGCCCGGTTTCTTGTCGGCTTTGCTGGTGCTGCATTCCACGCACCACAAGAACTAATTTCGTCTCGCCTCCGGCTTTTCCCGCAGGTTATTATTCGTGCCCGTCGCTCACCCGTATGACTCTGAGGCGACTTCGGAGTCGATTAGTATCGATGTCGCCTTCGCGTTTTTGTGATACTTTCATTGTGTCCACTCCCCCGTTCATCAGCGCTATCTTTTTGTCCTTAACTGTGCTCATTTACTAGTACACCTCATCTCTATTCACCGAAACTACAGAAGAGTTACATCTCACTTACATACTCAAGAAAGATACGATGCATTCGGCGGACACCCCAAACGACAGTTACCCCAAGCAAGAACGATGCACAACACAGCAGACAAAGCAAATAATGGGAGAGCAGATCTAGAAGGGAGTGATGAAATGCAAGCACAGTGTTCATATCGGAAGGTCTTTCGGGGACTTCCATTTTCATATCTTCAGCACTCCATGTCGACCGTTGGGCATCCTCGGAGACACTAAAGGGGGTCGAAGAACGGCTGTTAGTGACCTGCACACTATATTCAGGCAAAGCGATGGCGGCCGTGGCTTGAACTCACCGAGGAGAGCGTCATGTCGTCTCGGACACTAGCAGCATCGTCGCGAATCAGCCCATAATTGGAGCCCACTTGTGCCTGTCGGCTTCGTCAGCCCACTGCAAATGCTCGCCAGGCCCGCGCACCGAGCACAGCCGCCACCCAGCTCCTTCTTCAAAGCTCCACAATCTCTACATAGACCAACTGTATGAGCATGCTGGCGAAGTTGAGATAGTCCGCGACACGCACCCTAGGGTCCCCTCCGCCGCACCTCTGCAACTCAGCCTCCCTCCGCGCGAGCGCATGCGCAAACCTGAGTTTCTCCTCCGCTGTACAGAGGAAGTAAGGCCACTAGCACCTGATTCGGAGTAACAAACGACTGACCGATCCATTCGTTGCTCGCGTTGACAACCGTGCCCGGTTTACTGTTGAAGTACAGAGAATATTGCGGATCGTCGCCGACTGCATCGTCCCAGAAGCGGCAGACGGGCTCTTGAGAGGCGGTTAAGCTGCTAACTGGTTCCCACCTAAGTCGCTCGTAAGAAATGCGCTACCAGTGGGAGTCGGACAGCCTACGTATTCTTGCTGTTATCATAACCCGCCCACTGTAAGTAGCGTTAGCAAGTACCACGCCAGGAACCACTGAACCTTGATATAATATTCCTATTGTTGGTTAGAACTCAAACCACATTGCTGTTTTGCAAAGAGCTCACCCATCGTGGATCACTCAGTGGCCTGAACTCCCCTGGCGCACGGCGCACACCCCTTGCCGTCCGTCGTGCGCGCAAGATGCATTCTACCGACGTTGTCTCGAGTGAGTAAAAACCGGTGAGTACCGTTTGACAAAATGCTCACCCACATAACACTCGGCCTGTGTGTAGCTGCCGCCTGGGCGGAGCCGCGAGATCGAGAGACCACACAAGAGCGGCCCGCCTGCGAGCTTCGGGTGCCGCCCGCTGTGCCGTTTTCCCTGCCTCGCCATTCCAAGTTCAAGCCTGTCGCTGTGCCCAGGTGATAAGAGAGAAAAAGAGAGGGAAGGGAAGAAACACGCTGCGCTGTGGAATATATACGCTTTCCAGCGCTTCCTTTGCGCAGCTGGAGGATGCTTCCCTGTCACGAATAAGCTTTGTGTGTTTCATATTTATCACAAGACTCTACTCAATATCAGTGGCAGGCGGGGGGGGAAGGTATCAATGTTACAAACAAAGATGAGCAGCCAATGGCATAGAGATATGCGACCGAATGAAAAATAGAACTTGAAAAGGAGATAGAGAGAGAATTAGACAAGCAATATACGCGAGAAGGATAAGCAATCAGGGCGAGAAATATATAGAGCATCCATCGATCTACAAGCAAAACAAGTGGCAGAAGCCAGAAGCTTTGAAATGAGTCAGCCTATTTCGAATGATTATGCCGCTCGCAAGGACAAACACTGAAGAACGAGCCCGACGACAGCCCAAATGCGGGCAGAGAAGTATTGCGGTGTGTCGTCCTACTTAGAGCCCCCGCATCCACGTATTCGCGACGTCGTAACTCGTACTAGTAAGATTGTCGGCCAGAGTGAGTGACTGTGCCATAAAAGGTGTCGAAAAGGACATTCGCGCGCGTGCGTAGGCTTCAATACGGATGTGGGGTATGAGGACATAAGTGAGGTTCGATTGGGGTTGTGTTGTGGGATTTTTTCGAGAAAGGAGACTGGGGGACGATGCTCTCCAATTTGGGGGCGCTATTTTGGTTGGAAGAATGCGAGGAATGTGTTGACGGGGATATTGGATACGTAGCTGAACGTTTACAATATGCCTGCCCATTCATCGTTAGCGTCGGAATCTTTGTCGCAGGAAATTGATGACATACTAGAGTTCCCCGCCTTTCGTTCGCGCGCTCCAGACCACATTCTCCTCTGTCTTTGCGACGACCACGACAGCTTCTACGCCAGCCGACACCGCTTGAGCGCCGTTCACCACCAAGCCTATTGGTGGCTTTGCTTTCCACAAATGGGTCCTTGATGTCGATAGCGAAGCCGCTCGGGTCGGGAAGAGGGAGGAAGAAAAGATGAAATAGGGCTGGAAAGCCAGATGGAGGGAAGATCTGCGTGGACAAGACACGCTTGGTAGGGCTTGTAAACCCTATATCTGGGGGAAAGGGCGGCAGAGACGACTTTTGAGTGAGAGATAGGACGATTTGTCCAGGAGGAGGGGGTTGCTTAGGTCGGAAAGTGCTCGTAGATGACATTGAAGGTGACTGAGGCGACAAAAACCCTGTTGAC